TTTTTTTTTTACTGTAAAATCAACATCAAATGTCTTCAGTCTATTCAAAGGAGTTTTAAATTATTTAAGTTAACATTGAACATATTGTTAGGTGGAAAACTAGCAATCAAAGATCAATGTAAAGTTTTCGAGCATTCTGCATTATTAGCAGATTTTAACATGTTTATTCTTTTATCCATTTCATAGGGCTTCGATGGACGGAATGGAGAAAAGGGTGAAACGGGTGCTCCTGGATTAAAGGTGAATCCCAGCAAAAATCTCACTTTCATAAGCAGATTCATGTGAATGGTGCAGCTACGCTTAAGATTTCTACTGGAGGTTTAGCTTTTTCTGAAATCCACCGGAGTTTTGCATTGTAAGAGCTGCGGGATAGTGAGTAACTGAGATGCCCTGTTAAAGCTTCCACGAGAGCTGATGCCTCAAGCTGTCGAGATTAGAAATGAGTGGACATCGCTGAGTAACTCGGGAATTACTTCTATTAAAGCCACACATTTTTTAAAATACAGAAAGTGATATTTCTGGTAAAGAAAAAAGTGTTACAGAAACTTGATATTGTTAAAATGTATGTTTTTTCCTTGGGTCCCATAGAGTTTTTCACAAAATGCTACGTTTAAAAAACTAGACCCGTTCTCCCTGTTGCATGATGGTAACGTGTTGTCTGTTCCCAGGGTGAAAACGGCCTTCCTGGTGAAAACGGAGCTCCGGGGCCCATGGTAATCCTTTCTTACGGGCTTTTCAGTTTCACAGCAACCTCCATCCCACCCTGCCCTGCCTTGCTCCCTCCGCCTCTGCTTTTACACTGTCAAGTTCAAAGTATAACCGTCCTTTCCACTTCGTTCTGCAGGGTCCCCGAGGGTCTCCTGGGGAGAGAGGCCGGCCGGGACTCCCTGGAGCCGCTGTGAGTACCTCAGTCCCGGCTCGCTCGCTCGCTCGCACCGGGAGCCACAGGGTCTCAGGGTCTCAGCCAGGGCTCGGCTGCGACAGATGCAGGGAAATGGCTGTCCACACACCTGCACTCAGAGTCGCCCCGTAGCACCTGAGCCATAACTGCAGGGAAACAGGTGTTTCTTAGTGATTGTCCCTGCTGAGGCTGTCGAAGTGTTAACTTTGCATATGTTATCAAAGCCTTTGCATATGTAATTCACATTCAGTTTGTAAAATACAAACACCAATCATTCTACATTAGATCATTGCTATATATATATGGGTTTTAACAAGTTGGCTCCAAAATATATCTAATCAGTCAGTAGATGTTAATGTATTTAAGGAAAAGTTAACTCAATTGAGTCAGATTTTTAATCTAAATACTACTGGTCACCAGTGTTCCAGAATCCAGGAGATATTTAAGACGAACTTCTCTTTCTAGGGGGCTCGGGGTAATGATGGTGCTCGAGGAAGTGACGGACAACCGGTAAGTAGCTGGTCACCTGACCCTGACTGGCCTCTGGGAGATGAGAGAGTGTGGTTGTGGGATCTTGGAGTCATAGGGATTGTAGACCCAAACTCAGCATCGTCATAAACGTCTGACCCAAACGGACACTAACCCCAACGTAA